CGCATTTAATTTGGCTTTACTTAATCATAGGTTAATGATAGTGACTGAACCAACATTTTCAGAAATGTGTCTTTGAAATACAACTTTCTGTCACTTTGCAGAGTGGAATTTGGCAAAGGTCAGATTAATGCTAAGTGCATTAGCTGTGATCTGGACCAAGAAAGATGTCAGTATTACAGCACATCCTTCAGCCAAAATGCACAATATTATCTGCTAAATTGTTTTGGTGAGTATGGCCCAAACTAATCAACATAACTGTGACTTACTACTTAATGCAGAAGAAAAAAAAATCAGCCAGTGAAAGCCTTGGGTACAAGCTAGAATATGTGTTGATTTCTTTGGAGTTACACAATAGTAATAAAAAGGGATTATTTTTCCACTGCTCCAAATGACCCTGATGAAAATACAAGTATAAAATAATACTAAATGGTAGCTTATGCCTAGAGTCAGCAGAACTCATCCCATAGCAAAACACAAAACTCTCCTTTCCTGTGCAGTCCTAAACCTCAGGATGTTCCATCCTCTAAAGCAGCCTTTGAAAATAGATATTTCTGGCAAAATGTTCAGAAGAGCAATAGATCCTGGCGGTTTCAGATGAGGGTGAATGTAATGCACCAGAGCTGAAGGCTCCTGAATAATACTTTACTGCCAGTTCACTCCTCACTGATTAAGCTGATCCTGAACATTGTGCTATTAAGCATCAGGGAGGTGACACTCATACTTCTGAAAAGGAGAGCATGAAGTGTAAGTTCTTTGATTCAAGGAGGACCTCTGGCAGAATTTCCATAAGGAGATTGGACATTGTTCTTAAACTAAATACAGACAGAGAATTGATTCAGTCTTCACAGGTTTGTCTGAGCTGCATGGATTGAACTGCTATTTAAGCAAGTGACAGACAATCACTTTTGATTCCAGAAATGCAGTCACACGCCTGCAGTGGCCCAGGCGAGGAGTTGGGGGGGCACTAGAGCACACCTCCTGCTTAGCTGGAGCAGACAGCTTCGGCCAAAGCTAGCTCACCCACCCTGCAAGAGGGGGGAGGGAGGAGGGAATGTGTGCAGCACAGATACAAAGCATCCCGGGATGCTGGGGAACTATTAATTAATTTAAATCTGGAGGGGATTTGAGACAGACATTCATAAAACTGATTTAATCTAAATCAATCAAGTCTAATACTACATCCATCTTATTGTAAACTGCTTTCAGCTATTTTGAAAGCAGTTTATGTGCACTGAACTTCTGTTATATTACAGATTTTAACCCATTTCCAATCACATACCAGTTTGTGTAATTCCTGTTCCTAACCATAAAGGGAAGCCTATGGAGATTTCTGTATTGTAGAAAGACATTGGAGTTACCTTAGTTTGATATGCTTGTTTGGAAAGGGAAGTAATCAGAGAATAGGAACAAAATCAGGAAAGAGATGATGATCTTGCCACAAAGAGTTCAAGAAATATTTATATATGCTTTGACCTACAGATTCACCTCCTGAGTTACTGTCCTGTGGGCCATAGATATGATAGTGCTGGGGAGGAATTAATCAGTTGAAGGAAAGTCTAAAAGACTCTTGCTTTTCTCTCCTCTATGAACTGATAGGGTTTCTTTTTTTATGGTGATGAAACCTTAAATCTATGCCTTGGGGAGTCTGGGCCTCTCTGCATCCCACCCTCAAATATGGAAGACTGGATGCTCAGATTCTTGGTGGATTGTGAGGTGGGGAGCAACTTTGGGAAGAGTCCTGATACCCCCCCCCCCCCAGTGGACCTGAAAAAGTTTGGATACAAAGGTTCAGGCACTTTCCTGGGCTGAGCTTGAGCTATGAATCTTTCAAGTTGCTCCTACCTACTTATTGTTATGGAACCATATTTTAAAAGGCCTATAAACAAAACATGCATGTTCTTGTGCTGTCAATAGGTCCAGGCCTGCCCAAGTGTGTGCTTCACAGAAGTAGTGATGATCAAGGTACTGGAGTTTTTCTGTTTTCAATTGCATTATGTGTACATGTTCCATGGATCAGGGGTAGTATTCTTTAGTCTTAGAGCTTGTAGAATGTTTTACAGTGTATCATATAAAAACAAAAACCATAAAACACCAAACATACTGAATTAATTTTTTGAGTAAAATGAGAAATATTCACTATAATGAAGTCCTTATAACTGTCATTTATTTACGTGTTAATCTCTGTGGATTAATTGTGAACAAAGATTTTAAAATCATGGATTTTAGTCATACATTAAAATTGATTATTTAAATTTGACTTTCATTTGTATTTAAAAAAAACTAAACAACTTCATTCTCACTGGTTGAACCCTTTAAGCATACTGATTTGCAAATAAAAATAGCCTTTATGTTAATTTTGCTGCAAATTTTGCTAACCAGGGTACGCATTCTGTAACTTGATATCCATAAGGAATCTTATTTTTATATGATTTGATTGTCCTGGAAAATGGTGAATAATGTATTTCTTATTTGCTAGGTAACTTTTTCTTTTTTGTGTCAAGCTGTATTGGAATGAATATAGAAATTCAATTTAAAATAGAGAAAAACAACATTTCAAAATAGTTATTAGTCAAGTGAAACCTCATAAAAATGTTTTTCAACATTTGTTTTGCATTTAAAAGTAAATCGTTTGTTACAAGAAGTCCCCTGTAGTTCAGTGGTAGAATCCTTGTCTACCACACAGGAGACCTGGGTTTGATTTCTGGACGCTTATATAGTGACAGCCATAGAGGTACCAAACATCTGGTCTTTGGATTCTGTCTCAGTGGCCTAAAGGGAGGATGGAAGGTCTGGGCAGCCTCCACTCATTCAAAAATTCCTGCCCAGGCATATGCATTGAAGGTCTGGGTGGCCCTCATCCATACACCATGATCCAGGAGGATCAATGGTTGCCACAAGATTTATTATAGTAAATATATAACATTTAGTAAATTGACTATTTCTGGTTACCTTGACCTAGATTTTCAGAGACATTGATAAGTCCAGCAAAATTGTCAAACCAGGTTAGCTACCTCGTTCCCAGGGAAGACCTGCTTAGATGGTTTAAAAAAATATCAGAGCAACATATTGCTATGTTTATTTTAATTACTTCAACCAATTACAGAATGTTTAAGCCTTTATTTAGGTTGCTATCATTTCATATTTAATTTGACATGATTTTATTTTTAAAAGCCCATTTATTTAATTTTTTTTTATTTAAAAAGAATTTTTACTGTTTAAAAAAAATCTGTCTTGTCCACTCTGTTATTCAGCCATCAGAAACTTGGAAAACAACACAGATTTGAATAATTCATTGAAGGACATTCAGATGCCTTCAAAGAGAGTTGAATCCATTAATCTGAATGGGAACGGTAAGTTTCTTTACCATGTATTTTTACCACTTTATGCCTGAGTTTCTCCATATGTAAAATTGTGATAAGCTTCTTGGGAAAGTACTTTGAGATTTACTTGAAAAAATCAGTGTATGAAAGCTATATTTAGCTAGCTGTCTTTAATTTGCTGTTCTTAGAAAAGATGTATTCCAGTCTAAAAATACTAGGAAAAATAAACTGAGATGTAAAGTTGCTTAAATATGTAAAATAATTCCTTGCATTCCTGAAGTTCTGAAGCTATGCAGTATAATAGAATAAAATGACAATACTATTGGGAGGCAGACAGCTAAATCAGATTGAAGAGCACTGCCATACTGAGAAGCCGGCACAGTACCCATCGAGACTATTCCTGACTCCAACTTCTGCTGTCAGCCTTTTTCTCTTTTATGACAAAAATTTACTCTGTTCAGCAAACAAATATTCTTAAAGTAATCAAACTTTATAAATAGTATCCAATTCTGTGCTGCTGTTACTGTTTTGATACTTCCCTCCTCCCACTCTTATCTCTTTTGTATTATAACTTTCTTTATCTTTTTGTTTCTGTCTTTTATTTTCAGTAATATTTTTTGTTAGAGCTAACGACGACATCTTCCAGGGAAGATGGAGGTTTAAAGATGTTCTCCATGCTATCAGTTGTGTATTCATCTTTTTATTCCTCCTTCTTCTTACTACTTCATCTCTTCAGGGTAGAAGCTGTTGGTAAGGGGAATCTTATTTTAATGTAGTACTAGACTGAAAAAAATCAATTTATTTAAACTTACGTCAGATCCAAATGTATTCCTATGACCACATATCCTATACGTATCAGTGAAGACACAGATGTGCATCTCCAGAGCACAGAGGTACAAAATTACCTTTTCAGTTGCATATTATCCAGTATCTTAATCTGACTGTCACTTTAGCACACTTATATTCTATCATCCTGCATAGTTTGAAGTGTACAAAGTTCTGTAATGCTTGTACTCTCGTCTCGTATGAAGCACATTCCTACAATATTCATTCATACTCAACATCCTACAACACCTATTCCTGTAAAATCCTTCAGAAAACAACATCCTCCCTCCCCTCCCCTCCCCTCCCCACCCCACTTAGTCTGTTGATAACATATAACTTCTGAGACAGTACTCACAGGTCTGTGAACAGAGTTCATTGTTCCAAACTTACTAGGGAAGTTCATTCAGAATTTACTCAGCATTTTCTCACTCACTGAGTCTAGAAAAGATATTCTTCGAGCTCTTAATCATCTGGCCAGTGCATCACTTCGCCAGGATTTCCACTTTAATTTAGAATCTTAATATATTAGTATTAGAAAACATGTTGAGAAATCTTTTATTTTTTTGATATCTATGAGCTTTTTAAAAGACCACAGACTGCCTTGCAAGGCTTGAAGAATTTTGAGTTGAGGTTTTTTTAATTCACTTAGCAAATCTCAATTAATATGTTACAGGCCATTTTTAATATGATTAAGCTTTATACAAATTTTTAAAAAAATTAAGGAATGATGCAGATGTACTTTGCTGAACATAAGAACATACGTTCACATAGGTCATGCGTCAGTCAGTTCCTGGGGAAAGAGCCAAGTCACATGATTTTTTTTCCTTTCTTTTTATGTTTCAGTATTTTGGTATCAGATGATCTTACCTCCCCATTTTGATTCATCAAAGAAGTACCCTCTGCTCCTTGATGTGTAAGTCGTCTTCCAATACAGGTGGCAATGCTATGTTAATTGCTTTCATCTCCTTCAAAGGCTTCTAACAGCTTTAGAAGACATAAAATTGGCATAAATACTTTTCTAATTTATTTTTAAAAGCAGTTTTTGAGAGAGAAGAATCAGTGCAAATCCCAGATTTCCACAGATTGTCAAGGGTTTTTTCCTGTGGTGGACTGCCTAGGCCAGGGGCAGGCAAGGTCTGGCCCACAGGCTGGATCAGGCCCATGGTGGACTCCATTTCCCAGCAGCTCCTACCTGTGTTGCTGTGGCCGGTTTCTGTGGAGACCCCAGGAGTGGCAGCACTATGACAGCGTGAGGCCAGGCTTTCCATGGGGACTGGCCCTGCCAGCACTGGCAGGATGCACAGATGGGCAGCGAGCTGCTCCGAGGCTGGGATCTTGCGGTGGTGACAGCGTGGTCCAAAGCCAGGGCAGAGCTGCGATCCACAGCCCACACACCTTGGGCATGGGCATGCAGGCAGTGGATCACTGCTGTGTCCCAGCCCTGGACCATGCAGTCACCACTGCGTAATCCCAGCCCCAGCTCCGGAACAACACCCTACCCAGCCATGCTTCCTGCCAGCACTGCTGGGGCTGGTTTCCATGGAAACCCTGGCCCTGCACCATCATGGTGCCCGCTCCTGGGGTCTCCATGGAAACTGGCCACAGCAATGTGAGCAGGGGCTTCTGGGAAATGGAGTCTGGCTGCGGGCTGGATCCACCATTTTGCCAACCCCTGGCCTAAGCACTTGCATTAGAACAAATGGTACAGATTAACAAGACTATTTTGTTGCTTATGGCAGGGGTCAGCATCATCATACAGCCTGCAAGCCAGATCTGCCCACAGAGCCACTGGATCTGTCTCGCAGAACCAAAAGGCTTTGCCTCTGCCCATGCCTGTGCTAGTGCTGGGCAGCAACGAGCTGCACTGGGGGCTGGGAGCTGGAAGCTGTGCCCCCATTACCACTGCTTTCCCCACCCCCTGGCCCCTGCCTGCAGCATGGGCACAACTTGTACTAGGTAAGGAACTGAGCTGGGCCTGAGTAACTTCTAGCAGCACCCACAACCAAGAAGCAGAGTACAGGGAAAAGTGTCAGCAGTGTAGACAGAGGTTTCAGATGCCTGACCCTGGCTCAGTTCCCTACCAGCTGGCAGCTGTGCCCATGCTGCAGTTAGGGAGCGGGGGTCTAGCAGAAGCGGTGAGATGCAGTTCCTCAGCACAGCCATGGACAAAGTATCTCCTGCCTGTCCCCTCCACCTGCCCCACTGCTGATGTGCTGATAAAGCTGCCAGGCCTGCACCAGATTGAAGCTGGGTTATTGCATCTGTGGCTTATAAAGGTTGCCTAGAAGGTCAGTGAATATTATTTAATGAGTAGTTGCAATGTAATTACAGTCTTCAGAATGGACAATGTAATGAGAAGTCTAGATAGTAACAACTGAGGGAGGTTTGTTTTAGAGGAGCTTTTGTATGCCAACATTATAAAGCTGAAGAAAAGGGAAATCATTTCAGGGCTATCTTGCTATATAGAAATATAATTCTCTTAAGACCTGATCCTGCATGATTTTGAAGTCTTCCTTTGAGGCCTCAAGCACCCTCAGTTCATGCAAATCAGTAGGCATTGAGGGCACATAATTTATTCATCATCTTGGGATCCCTCTTAGGCCAGATCCAAAGTCCACTGAAGTCAATAGACATCTTTCCACTGACTTCGGTATCTTTTGATTGGATCTATAATGCTTACTGAAGAAAACTGAATAGAAAACTGCCTGATATTTCCTAGTTCCAAACTCCAGAAAAGGAAAATGGTCTTGAACTTATTTGTACATATTAGAGAAACGTTAGGTTTAGAAATCTTTACTTAAGACAGTTATAGGCCTTGAGACCAGTGACCAGAGAGAGAGAAATTAAAGCCTTGTAATGGCATACACTAACCTCCATATTCAAAACATAATCAGGCTAATTAAATGAATAGTGTAAAAAGACACATTCAGTGGACCATGAACATATATACTCTTTGTTCCTTTTCTTTCTCAGAGTCTTCTGCTCATAGCAATATAATAGTATTTTTGCATTCATTTCTGTTTCTTTTAACTGAGTTACTGCAGTTTGTTATTTATAGAAATACCTAATGAATTTCTCTGCTTGCTGGGAAATGGCTCTCAAAGACAAATAAAACACATTAGTAGTTACACTGAACATAAAATATGAAAGTTGATTCCTCTTTTTTCTTATTTAATGAAATTTGGATCACTGGACTTATTATTTGCCACTTAAACTTTTCATGAGTAGTAAATGCTCTTTACTCGTTAGTATTCAAAACACAACACCCCCCCCCGGTTTTCTCATCGAGTAATCTGTGGCTTGGTGAGTAGCTCCTTTGTTTCGTACAATATGGTACTAATCATCACACTCTGGAATGGAGGTGCATACTCTCCAGAAAGATCATACGAACATCATTGTCCAGATGACAGGTGAGCATTGTCACTATTCCCTCAGCAATAACAGGGTTTTCACATAGAAATAATGCTACACGTAGGGATCCTACAAGTTAGAATGTTTCCATATACACAGTTTACATAGGGTTCCATGAATTTCTGATGTTTACGTGGCTCAGTATTGAAAGTGATGTACTTGCACACAAGTCATAATTGTACAAATCCTGTTATTGTTTAGACTTTGATCTGGGCATCTTCCATTTTTAAAAAGTTGCTTCTCTTTCCCCCAAATATGGGAAATAAAATTGAAAAGCTTTAAGGTCCAATCTTCCAGGTCTGTCTTAAGGGTCATCTTGCTTTATGAAAAGATAAGGTGGCACATGGCAAATTGTTCACAAGCAGAATAGCCAGATTACGCAAATATCGCTTACTTAATCTAATTGATGTGGCTTTATCTCCAGAATGCTCACATGCCTCTTAAGTATTTCAAAATAGACTATCCACTAACAGTGTTTTCCTCTTTCTTCCTTCCCAGCCTCAATAAAAATAGCCTGATTACTTAATAGGTGTATGTTTAATTTCACTAATGAATCACCAAAAGTGTCCAAAAAAGAGAAGGATTTTTTAAATTTTCACAAGTAAAAGCTATTCACTTTTGATTCAAAGTTTTTTTTTCAACTAGACACTTAATGAATACTAATTAGGTGGAGCAACAGAAATAGATTGGTTCAGTTAAACAATAGCATCTTTTTTAATTGCAGTGATAAAACATGCCAAAACAAAGAGGGATTTTGATTAGGATTCTTGGTATCCCACTCTCCTTGATTCTAAGACTGTAATCCACAGGACAAAGCAATAAAATTCCTAAATTAGGGCCAGTCTTGGAGTCCTTACTCATGGATATTTCCACGAAGATTGCAAGTCATATTACCCAGGAAAAGCAGAATTTAGTTTAAGTAGTGAATGCTTTTTGTACATTCCTAATGCTCAGTTTAGTCATAAAGTTTGCCTGTTTCTTATTTCCGGTGATTGTCAGCACTAAGAACATTGTATGCCATTGATAAGAGAATTAGGGAATGGCAAGTGTTTGAATCCTTTGGGACTCTTTACATAGGTATGCCGGGCCCTGCAGTCAGAAAGTAGATTATGCCTTCCGAATCAATTGGGCTACATACCTGGCAAGCACAGAGCAGATCATCGTGGCTAGCTTTGATGGCAGAGGAAGTGGCTACCAAGGAGATAAAATCATGCATGCAATATATCGAAGACTGGGAACATATGAAATAGAGGATCAAATTGCAGCAGCCAGGTGAGCATGCAGTAGACTGTCACTGATCACTATATAGCCAGCTGGCTGTCCAGCTGTTGACATTTTAAGAGCAATAAACTAGAACACTATTGTTTCTGCTCAGTAAACAACTCATAAATCTGGGAATAGAGAAAAGAGGATTTATCAAATGGTCGTACTGGAATTTGTACCAAAAGTTGTAGCTAAATACTAGTTAATTTCCATATGCTGAGCAGTTGTAATTCTACATGTTTAAAAACATAGAGTAAGTAACATCATGACAAACAGTAAGAGGAGAATGTGCTTCATTGGCAAAAACTTTATTATCCTGGTGCTTTTACAGAAAAGAAAGGATGATCTTGTCTGTAGCATAGGGCTCAGAGTTAGGAGAACCAACTTCTATTTCAAGCTTTTCTAAGTTTCCTTTGTAACTCTGGGCTAGTCCTCTTATGGTCAAATGTTCAACATGGATCTTTTTTCTATAAACCCCTACTTATTTAATGATTCTTAACTGAGGACTGAAAACCAATGACTTATTGATATAGCATACAAAAAGCAGAAAAACAAATCATTGGCTTCAGTTCAGTAAGACTGGTTTCTGTTTGTACATATTGAGCTACTTGGCATTTGCACTGGTGGTCATATTCAACATTCAGGTCCCTGACAGACGATAGGAACTGATGTGGGATTCCAACAGTCATGCTTCCTGCCATGTTACACGTGCATGGCAGGAGGTGTGAGTGTGGGATTATATCAGTTCCCATCATACCATATTGCTGGTGCAGGGGCAGCCAGATACCATCTGTCAGGGGCCTCCTGGAACCCCACTGAAGTAAATGAAGTCAATGAGATTGCACCAAAATAACTAAGAGGTGAATTTCACTCCTGAAGAGGAGTCTGAGTGAATGGAGACTTAAAAAAACCCAGCGCTCCCCCCTGCCCCCCTCGCCCCCCCCAAAAAAAAACACCAGAAAAACCCTCTTCATCCTCTCACTGGCCAGAGTTTCAAGAGTTTTAGTCTTTAGGCTGCAGCTTTCCATTTTGTGCTACATGATTGCTGTTGTCATTCTAACAATCACCTAGATGAATTCAAAACAATTTATGTAAAAGCCAGTGCATCTGGTGACAACTTTTTATGAAGCTGACAGGTTTTGTTTTCTTTTAATGACACAAAACACTCAGCAGGTTTTTTGAAAATCAGAGAAATGGTGAAGCATGCATTTTGTCTCAAGCAGTCATTATAATTGAGAGGTCCAGCCCTAACCTTACAAGCCAAAACCTACACGTAAAATGGGTAATTGCATATGTTCACTGTAATATACATTGTAAACATCTGCAATCTATTGAGTTTGATTTTTATTTGTTTTTAGAAAATTTTCTGAAATGGGCTTTGTTGATAAAAACAGAATAGCTATTTGGGGTTGGGTGAGTATTCAAGTTGCTTCTTTACATATTTGTAAAGACTATTATGTCTTCTTTTGTTTACACGGTATACTTACTACAAACCACACAGGCTTGGTGAGGTTCAAATAACCAGTTACTAATTATATGCACATCTAAGGTTCTTGTGGCTGTGGAAATGGTAATAATGAGAACTAAGGAACTTAGAAAATATTTTTAAAGAATTCCTATACACTGTGTTTACAAAGATGAAACAGCTATTATATTTTCCTACAGTGTATAGTCATATGCATTGACTTGTATCTTGGAGGTTAGCAGGACTCTTTTGATAACTGTATTAAAATATATTATGCTTTCTAAGTCCAAAAGGAATAGACCATTAAGATACCTAACTACCTGCATGCTCTTCTGACGTGCTATATTTAAGCATCTGTGCATCAGGCTACATTGTGAGTTTATCATGTGAAAACAGTAAGGAGCAGTGTCATGTTACATTGCCATGAAACAGACTGAAAGGGAGATTGTTACTCTTAGGCTAGGAACAGATGTTACCTTTGTCCTTGGACAAGTTGTAAATGTGTTTGTCCCAGAACAGAACTATCCCAGGATTGACATGTGCACACATTACCCTTGTAATAGTGAGAGGCTGAATGCCCTGTTGCTTTTCTGTCAGTGATTTAGTGGTGTAATTCCAAGGTTACTGTTCAGATGTACTTTGTGATTAACTTTTTTAGGATTTATCCTGGGACAATGGACATGGATGTCTGAATAACTGTACTTTGTCTTGGAATAAAATGGCTTATCCTGGGAAAAATGCAACATCCATTTTTAAACTTTGAGTCATAATCTTGTTGGTCTTGCTGCTTTAGGGGGTGAAGAGAGGGAATAGGGGAGAGGTCAAATATGCAATGTGGCTGACTTATTCCCGACACACTATATAGGTATCTGGTAAAGCACATTGTAGGGTTAGGCCTTGACTCCATCCTTTTCCTTCCAACTGTGAAGAGAGAGGACACTGTTTTTTGAAGTCCCTGGTACTGGCTCCACTGCAGTTTAGTTGCATGTTTGCAGCTCCCCTTTCCAGAGCCTGTTCCCCATACAATCCTGTGCAACAGATCACAAGTTAACCTTGTATTTACTACCTACTTCACCTCATCCACCAGTGAAACAAGACCCACAATCATAAAGGAGGTATTTAATATAAGAAAAGTGTAGAACCTCTAAAGAGATGATAAATAGTTTAGTAGATGGGTCATTTCCCTTCCTTTTCTTTAAAATAACTTAATTGTTTTTTTTTCTCAGTCTTATGGGGGTTACGTGACCTCCATGGTGCTAGGATCTGGTAGTGGAGTGTTCAAGTGTGGAATTGCTGTAGCCCCTGTGTCACGCTGGCAATTTTATGGTATGTGATAACTTCACAGTTACAAATCTTCTCATATGTCTTGTAGTACACGCACTGAAAAGTGTTGATTTCATAGAGTAAAACCTTGATCAAATTCTGGATGATCGTAAATGGATGATGCCACTTAAATGCCAGTTGGTTTGTTTTTGTGAACCAATGTGGAATATTATGCTTCAGCATTACACAGACTCCCCCAATTCTGGTTCTCACTTGAAAAATCAGATACTAAATTTAAGATAATTTGTTTAACTTTAACAAACACAGAATCATGGTAATATTTACAGTATCACTATTATGCTAATGTATGCATTTGCATTCCCTATAAACTGTTTTCTAAAGTATTCAGACCATTACTGAGTGTCACATTGTCCATTACTATTAGTCTTTGTTTCCTTAAATTATAATGTTGCTTACAAAGGAGGATTTAATCAAATTTTGTATAAAGTCAACCCCTGAAAAACACAGAATTTGTTGTTGTTGTTCTTTTGCTATGTTTTTTTTTTCTTTGGGGGTTTTAAAATTCAGTTTTTGCAAATATAGGTGGCTTTCTAAAGAAATACCTGCATGGGTAAAAAAAAAAAAATAGTACAACCATATAATTTGCTATAAGTCCAAACAAAAGGTGTGTTTCCATGCCATCTTGGCACTTGAAAATGTGAAAAGACTACTAAAAGGTCTTACTTATTACTTTAAAACAATATTAAAAAAAAATAAATTGTGGGCGCTTACTTTGCAAAAGAAGCAATGATAACATGGTAGCCTAAAGCTGTGATGAGGGACTTGCTTATGATTTAGATTCAGCCTGAATAAAGGGTTTTCTAGATAATTTACAAAGGAGACATTTAAAATATTTTTCTTTTTTCTTTGCGGTAAAATTTCTTTGAATTTTTTTACTGAATATTAAACAAGACTAGACCAGCATTATCGTTACTAAAATGACTGCCATTTTTTTTATCAGAATGCCCAACCCTGCATCAGGTATTTGGTACTATTATATAAAAGCTTTATAATTCAGAACCTTTGACATTTAATTTCTGAAGTGACAGCACAACTATCAAGTAACACAGAAGGAAAATCACACTAACAGGTCTACCTAAAAGCTGAGAAATACAGTGCGACATTCTACTGAATGCATGTTAAATGTCTCCTTCCACTGAATGATTTAAAAAAATAATTGTTTTTGGTCACTTCAGGAAAGATGTTCAATCCCAATTACTATAAAACATACCCATTTTATGCAAAATAATACTAGACTTTAGTAATGAATAGTTGCAATGTAATTAAAGCATCGGGATGGACAGTATAATATTGTGCTCCTCATATGTTGCATAATAACATCTTCCCCCCCCAAAATTAATTTTTATTATTATTGTGCAATTTTTACTTGCCAGTAGCTCTTTGTTTGTACCAAATTTTCATGACATCTTATGCCAGATATTCCAATATAGCAGAGAATCCTATGCAAAGGTTTTATTTTCAGTGACAAAGAAACACTAACATTCCACACTGTAAGTTAGTAGATCATTTAAAAGGACACAGTGGAATTTAAAATCAACAGCAGCAAAAATAAAATCAAACATATGACAACATTTACAATAATCAGTAGTTAAATGGACACTGAAATATGGTGATTGTGTGTCAGTTTGTGTAATTTAACATGGAATACAGCAGTAAATCTGGCAAAGGAAATGATAGTGACATGCTGGAAAATCTATGAAAAAACAGAGATATTGTATCAAAAGCAAATAAAGCTAAACTGAGCTCTAAAGAAATAATTCAACTTTTGCAATTTTCTTCCTTAATATCATTACATTTGAAATACCTCAGAAATTATCTGAGTCATTTTCAGAAACAAGATAGCTACTGTAAGATTCTCCACATTTTCCTAAAGATTACTGGAAGAATAGCAATAATGTAACATTGACACAAGGTGGTTTATTAATATTCAACATTCAGGTGTCCATGGCAACCGCAACATTAAATATTCTGAACAATTACTATTACCTACAAGGTTCATCAGGGAAAATGGTGACTTTTTCCAATATGGTAATGTGTTCCTTATGTCTCCAAATAACACAACATGTGGAACTGCAGGTAGAGAAAAACCTTACAAAGTGAAAGCATTGTAATATATTCATATTTTAACATTACAGATTCAATATATACAGAGCGCTATATGGGTCTTCCTGTAGAAAATGATAATCTAAAATACTACGAGGTAAGAAAGTATTTTATTTCTTTTTTATATTATTAAAGCTTATTTTCCCCCTCCCAACTGCATCATAAGGAATTATTAATGCATTCCTTTTTTTTTTTTCAGATTAATTTGTATGTGTTGAATCCAGTTCAAGCTGTATTCAGCTGTGTTTTTAGAAGTCCTAGCATTATGTCCTTAGGCTTAGAATGAATTATTTTTAATTGTTACCCCAGGTGGTGGTTGTTTTTTGTTTTTGTTTTGTGGGGGGTTTTATGTCAGATTCAGTTTGGACATTTTGTGAACAGAGTTCACAAGCTATAAATTGGGGGTAATTATTTCATTTGCTAAAAAGTTAATTTGTTTAAAAATACATTGCTGGGCAAACCATGTTGTATCTTTAAAACTATACCAAAAGAAAGTCACTGCTTTGTTTCCTGTCCAGATGTGATGATAAATGTAGAGACTCCATGAATTTTGTCAATTACAAGCTTCTTGAAGTTAATGAGAAAGAGGGGGAAAAGAGGGAGAAAACCTATTAGATATGGTGAAAGTTACAGTAAATTTACAAGACTTGACAACACTGCTCTAGTCACTATTCAGATAGGATCAAATTCTGAACTGGAAAATGTCAGGGACCAGATCCTTGGCCACTACTCGTCACCCTAAAGTTACTATAGTTGTGGTGCAGAATAACTGTGGATTCTTCAGGATTGTGGGAAAACAGAGCTAGAACCAACATCATTATTTTAGACCGTTACACCAAATCCATGATTGTGTGGATTTCTGGAGGGGTAGAAATGTAACCAATCTATCTATGCTTGCAAGCTCCCTCTAGCTGCCTGAATAACAACTTGGTGGTATAAGGCATAGCAACCCCAAGATTTCTCTAGTTTTTGCTGAGGAAGGGACCAGTCAATAATCATCTTTAGAGTTGGGGGGCAAATAAAATGGTTATAAGACACTATACAGGCTCCTGGGACTCTTATTAATACAGACAGACTCAATGGCAGATGTAGAACCAGTATAGCTTGCAGGAATGGAGGCATGCTGGGCTGTTCCTAAGTTGTAGATTCCAGTTCATGGGACATAGGGCAGCAATGTTGGGGTGCCTACAAGTAGTAGAGACAAACATCAGGTTAGGAAAGATGCAAATACCCACCCCGTACATGTTTAGCTCATGTGCAGGTCACAAGAGACATTTAGGAGAAGATGAGAAGGAGTCCACTGTAGGTGGGGGGGAAAGGAAGTTTGAGAAAAGTGTTTCTCTGACATTATTTTGGGTTTGACTTTAAGTAAATTGGGACAGTTTTAAAATGACCCTTGACTGCATGGTACAAATGGTAAGTGGTGCTTACTAGGAGACATGACAAATGTCATGTTAAATATGTAAATGGACTGAAATCTCCTTTGTGGACCTATCACAGTCATGTAGGCTGTGGCAGCTGTTATGTTGTAAAGGTTTTAATAACTTGGAGATATGAGGAAAGCAGTGGTGGCTGCTGGACTGTGCCAACCATGACTTACTTTTCATGGCTCATTTATTACAGCGGACATTTCAAGACCCATCATAGACTCTTTGACTGACAAATCTGACTTTTTCCAGCTGTTAAGTCCATCTCTTTTCTTTCTGCTTTTTTCAAGAATGCTCCTTTAAGGAAGTGGGAGAAGTAGCAAATTTGCTAGGTAGCAATGTAAATAGAAGCCACTCTCTTGCTACAGAATGGAACGTTAACACACTGGGTGCACAAAGTCACTCTCCAGCTTCACGGCACAGATGGCACCAGAGGACTGTTTTATCCTTTCACGCCAGGAGTCGGATTTTCTTGGCGCAACATCCATTGCTGGCAATGACCGCGTTGAAACTGCCAGTACCAAAGAGCTAAAGGTTTAAAATGTGTTAGTCAGAGGACTAATTGGGAAGGATGGTGGCTCGATGGAGGAGGGGGGTGGGTAATCATACAGATCAGATTCTCACACTAGTTTTCTTTACTGGTAGAAAAGTCTGACTGCAGTCCTCCTTTCCTGCGCACTCTTAGAACCCCTTCTCTTCACCTGCTAATGTTTTCCTAAGGTTTATTCATGGGGGACTAGTTTTCTTCCAAGAACTGAGTTTCTCACAGCCTTGCTGAACACACTCAGAATTTTTCCCCTCTTAACTTCTTCCTTCAAGGTTTTGCCCCACAAAGACCTTTTTGTCCATAGAGAGCTGGTGAAGACTGCCTTCTGAGCTTAACAACACAACACTGTTCTTTATTCAGTGACAGTAAGTGACTCGATCCAAACTGAGCCCTAGTTTCTACACAGTGCTGCAAAGTACTAGCCAGAGTAGGAGGGTCTGAACTCCTCTTGTAATACTCTACACTCATTGTTACCACCTTGGTCTCAGAAATGCTGATGGATCTGAATATTTTTGAGATGTAAGTTTCCATTGATGTTATGAAGAGGATCTGGGGAATGATTTGATCATGCAGTCCTAGGTAGCTAATTAGGTGTGATTGGGTATTATTATTATTATTATTTTAAGGCGACCTTGAAGTATGAAAATAGGAGCTTGGAAAAAAACTTCAACTGAACATTAATGAAATGTGAACATATGTTGTCTCCACATAAGTGAAAATAAAACCTGGCCCATTTTTGGTCCTGTAAAGATAGCCAGAGAGACTTTATATAATTAGGAGTTTTGTAAAGGTGGCAAACATCTACACATGAGGTTACAATACATCAGAGAGTAAGGGCCAACCAAAGAAAGTACAGATCTTAGGCTGAGAGAATGGGAGGCCTGTCTGTCCTTGGAGGTTTCTGGGACTTGTATCAGAAGAGGAGATGACAAAGAGACCAGACCCTTAAAAGTCAGAGACAGCAGCCGCCCAGAGCACACAAAAGGGACTGTTCAACTTGTGAAAGAGAACACTCTTTTGCAGTTCACTCTGAATTTGATATGCTTTTGGCAAGTGTTTGAAACAGTCATAGATTTGGCAATCTTTTGCTAGCAGATTTGAAATGTTCAGTCCTTAAGAACTGCTGCATCATTAGGTTATGCAAAACAGGGTACAATTTTGTAAATATGCCATCTTGTACTGATTTGACATTTGTTCTATTATCCGAGAATATGCTAAAGGGAGAGAGACCTTCAGTTTCAGCCAAACCTTAACTTGTTTGTTGCGTGCTGATAAAATGTTGACTGCTGTGTGATCTTTACCGAAGCCAGTTAGGCTCAGTGTAGCCCAGAGCTGAACACTTGCACTGACAGGGGCGTTGGGAGAGGTGACTTGTACAATGACTAATAAGAACACGCAAGCATACTAATATACTGGATTTATTTACAGCCAGATGTGTCCAACAGCCTGATCCAGTACATCAATTGTTGCTTTTGGGTGCAACTGCCCACTCAACTTGTGACACTGAAATATCCTTTTTGGAAGCCAGAGGCCAGGGCCTGTACTTTGTACACCTCTCACTGAGATGAGAGGGATTGCTTGGGTGAGAGCAAAGGTAGAATATAGTTTAGAACAATCACAAGTATCCATGTTCAAGTGATAATCTATAGGGAATAAATTTGGTTCTTAATGTTTAGGAAATATATACAAGCAAATTTGTCTAATGTGAACATTAAGGTGAAGGAAGCAAAAAAACAAAAAAAAAAGCAGTGCTTTAGTTGGTCCCAGAGGCCTAGTTTCTCAGGTGAATTTCATGCAGAAGTCCTTGCTTATACTTGACTAAATTAGTCTAAGACCTGAAGGTCACAGAGTGAAGTTGAAATGAGTGAACTACTGAAAACTACTGAACAAGTAATGCATCCCCACCCCCACAATGTTCTCTTTCTCTTCAGCCACTGATAGTATGAAGGTTGGTTTGCCGGAAAAACACTCTTAGTATGATTAAACTATCAGCTATAAGTACTTCTCAGTGTGTGTGGAAACTGTGCCACCCAGTGAATGCTTCCTAATTGGTTTCGTCTGTGGATCATTACTTCTCATTTGTTTCTCTCAGAATGTTGCTGCATTAATATTTCTCTAGGCAGGATCACTTTGCCTTACTATGGCCTTTACAACTTCGATATTTGCTAGCTTGTTTCCACTGCATCTTCACGGTACCAACTCTTGTTTCTGTCACTACCGTTTTCTGCTTTTCAGTGGGTTACTCGTTTCTAGACAATTAATTTGATGTTACTTAACCTTTTTTGTGGTTGCTTATATTTTGATAAATAAAGTTGTAAAGAGCTGTCAAGTTTCACTCAGCTTGGATTTTTGGTTTGTTTGCAATTTACAGTAGGCCCGATTCTTATTTAGAATAATGCTGATTTACAGCACTCTGATAGTGTAAGGGGAACTTTAAACATAGCTACATGCATCGAGTTGCCCAAGAACAGGAAACTTCAAAGCAAAATCCTGAAGGTAATTGTTTTGGGACAACTGTGTGCAGATAAGCAGCTGTCCTGGGAACAAACTACTCTGCCACAGAAAGAAATTACCATTTAAATCAGCTGAGATACTCTTCCTGTGGCAGAGTAGTTTGTGTCAGTAGCAAGGTTTGCCCAAGCCTAAGAGCCCCATGTGTTAGCATGGTTAAGACATACCTGTTCCTATAGCCTTGGGGGGGGGGGGGGG